TACTTCTCTCTCCTCAAAACTGATAACGCCTCCCATCCTCTCCACTGATGGTCTTGTCTCACACATCACTGAGGAAATGGAAACAATTAGATTAGAGGTTTCTCATCATCTTCCCCCCATTAATTCCGCCTGACAGGCCGCAGACTCATTCTTCTCTTTACCCCCCCCCCCCCTTAAAACGATCAGCTGCCCATGCTTCCATCCATGGGTAGCTGCTCCATGCTGCACTGGATCCCATCTGTGGCCACCCCACCTTCTCGGTGGTGGTATTCCTGAAAGTATACCTTCTCTTTTCTGTCCTGATTGATTTTTCCCTCTGCCATCACCATATAAACACTCCAAATACTATAGCTCATCTTGAAACATAACTTCCCTGAAAAAAAAAATCTGTAACTTTACAGGGGGGCAACCTGACACGCAGTACCTCAGCCAACTAATTGAGATGAACATCAGCAGTGAGATGTCACATTGATTGTAATGTGGCCTTGATATGAAGCGATGAGAATGGCACTTTACCTCTACAGTCTTCCTCCCACAAACCCATCATCTAACTATTCTAACTATGAAGATAACGTGAGAGAAATCCAAATTGAGGGATGCTGTAATTTAAGAATATCTGAATAGCACTCCTCAAAACTGTCAAGGTCATCAACAACACGGAAAGTCTGAATGGCTCTTATGATGGACCATGAAAACTATCAGTGTAGAGAAACCTAAGGACTCATGGCAATTACATGCAGTGTGGTATCTGGGATGGGATCCTGGAACATAAAAGAAATACATTAGGCCAAAACTAAGAAAATTTGAATAAAGTACAGATTTTAGATAATAAGAACGTATCCATATTGGTTCCTTTGTTGTGACATATGTCCCATAGTAATGTTAACAAAAGAGGGAACTGGGTGCAGGAATGCTCTAGAATATTCTTGCAACTTGTTTATGATTCTAAAATTACTCTAAAACGGAAGTTCATTAAATGTTAAAAAGCAAAACAACCCGTCCTCCAGCTTTACTCCATTTCCCTGCTTCCCTTCACAGGGAATCTTCCTGAAAGAGTTGTGTGTTGCTGTGGTCTCTATCTGCCCCTGCCCCACCCAGCTCATTCCTCAATCTACTCCCATCAAGCTGCTTTTCTTAGCTCTCTACCCAAATTACTAAGGACAAGGTCAGTGATGATCTTCCATCTTCGTGTTGCTAAACCTGATGTTCCCAGAGCCAACTTTGTTTCCTTCTCTTACCTGGCCTTTCAGTCTAGGGTGTGACCCAGTTAACTGTTCCTGCTTCCTGGAACACCCTCTTCCATTGGCTTTTGGGATGTGACATTGCTGGGTTTTTCCTACTCGTGGCTGCTTCTGCTTAGCCTCTTTGCTGGCTCCTCCTCTGACTTTGACCAGCACTTACATGGCCCAAAGGCTCTACCTTAGAATGCTACTCTCTATGCTCTTATCTCCTGGGTAATTTAATCCAGTCTCATGAAGTATAACTTACCTGCTGTTGACTCCCAAATTTATATCTCCAGGCCTCATCTATGAAATAGGGACTATTATACCCAGTTCACAGGGAGGCAGACACAGGCTCTCGGGCATGAAGGGGCTTCCCCGAGGTTACACAGCTAGAAGCAGCAGAGCCAGGACCTGAACTCACGTCTCTGTGACTACAGGCCTGTGCTGTGAGTGGCCAGGCTGCCCTTTCCCCCAATCCTAGCATCCTGTCTGCTCCCCAGGGTCCCCTGCATGTACTATCCATTCTGGCCTTATGCTTTCGTCCTCCTCCTACACTCCTGGAATGACCTTCCCACCATTCCCCCCTAAGCTTCTTCCCTCCCAGCTGTGGTGGGAGGTTTCTGCATTCTTGAGGCCCAGGCTGATCTTTCCTGGCCTCCTCTGAACTGCCACAGGACCTGGACTCTGCCCAAAAGCAACTGAGGGCTCATTTGCATCTATTAGTTTTGTGCTTTTTGAACCCAACATGGGCGTCCTTGGCCCAAGTACAAGCGTAGCTGGGGACACTGGAGCACAGTATTTGAGACAGGGACTATCTGGGAAAATGCGGGCCAAGGGCCTCCATCGTACACCAGCTCACACAGGGGAGTTGTTCAGGATTTTGTTTCCGCCACTATCTGGTAAGCTCTTGTGGAGATCATGACTTCACCAAATGAGTATAGTTAAAAAAAACAACTGTGTGTAGGGGGGAATACTTTAAAACTCTTTTCTCCTGGGTCCTGCCTGGGTGGTCATGGAAGTGAAGCAATTGATTTGATTTCATTTTCACAGAGGCCACAGAGAAGCCAAGCAGTTCCCGTTGGGGCCACAGAGGTCAAAGGAATATGCTGGAATGGCTGGTGCTAGGACTGATGGTTGTAAGCAGAGGCTGCTGCCGGCTCTCTCCCCAGCCCTGCATGGAGACAGCTGCCTATTCATAAGCAGGTCATGATTTAGAAAAGTAAAATTTGAACTCGAGAACGCATCACATATGGTCTCGGTATGAGGCAGTCTTTGCCCTTCCCATCCTACCTGGGAAGGTCCCGCTGGAGCCCTGCCACCTCCAAATGGAGGTCCTTCCTGACCCTTCGCGCAGCTGTCACGCTGCTTCACATAGTCTTCTGAAAGCAGGGCCGTGACTTCTGTCCTTGGGGACCCCCTAGGATATGAGAAAGGGCCCAGAGGCAGACAGAAAAATATGTGGGAAATATGGACAATGCAACATGGCGCCCGGTCTTGAGCCGTTCCTAAGTGTTAATGTTGCTCTGTTCTTCCTGTCGGCTGGCCTCCGTTGCCTCACAGAGATCAGCGCCAAGGTTCGTGGTCTGTAAACCGTTTAACAGATTCTTTGCTTTACGTCGGTGTAGCCCATGATAAGTCCCCACGGAACAAGAGTCACCGGCAGTGGTAGGATCAGAACACTTTAATAAGATATCAGTGTCAAAATACATTTCTTTATAAAGTTAAGCTCCCCTATAGTAATAATGTTGTCAGTAGGAGTTTGACAATACAATAATGTTCATGAACTCGTTACGTTGACAGGTAAGGTTACTATGAAGCTTGGAATATTTTTCAGAGTGTTTTAGTAAAACTGCAAGGGTAAAAATGCCCTTAATGCTGAGGCAACACACACAGGAAATCAAACACCAGCGTTTACGCGTCAGTAACCCTTCAAGTTCTGCCGCCGTGCGTGGGGCAAAGCGGTGGTGCTAAAGTGTGATTTGGTCAATGCAGCGACCGGGTCATTCTTCTTAGAGATTTCTTTTGAAATTCAGGGTTTTTTTGTTGTGTTTTTGGCAATATGTCCCTCCAGCTTTACCAAATTCTTCACCTGCTGTGCTTTGTGTGTGTTTCTAGAAACTTCCTTGTATGCAGGACAGCAAAGCTCCATGTGATTGGTATTTAAAAACCAAAAAGGTATCGTCCTTCTTACCCAGTGAGTTACAAAGTGCTCTGAGAACACTTGATTTTCAGTGCTTCCTACCTAAATAAGTCACTTCAGGTGACAGACAGAACTTGGGGAAGGCCTGAGGCTAGGGGCCACCCAGGAAGTCTGCCTGCTGTTCCTTGCTGGGCCACCTAACGGCAGGCTGAGGAAGGGGTGCGTGGCCGGTCAGGACCAGCTGTGCCCCCTTCCCATATCCTCTCTCAGGCCAGCAACATGTGCTCCCGGCTGGTAAGCTGGGAGCATCATGGCTGGATCACGACCCCCATTTCTGAATCCTGTCTTTCATGAACTCCCACCAAAACCGTCTCGTGGTAATTCTGGAAATATCCAAATGTGCCATGTGAAAGACCTTTTGGGTCCCATAGCTCAGTGCACTTGAAGGGCTGGCAACAAAATCTGAAGAAAAATTAAAGCACTTCCCCTCCCTTAGATTTGCCCCACCCTCACCCCCACCCCATGACATGCCATCAGACCCTCTTGGCAGCAATAATAATATACATACATACATACATACATAATACATATAGAACACGAGAAGACAGCTCGCAGTGCTCCCACACTTTATGATTCCACGTCTTGGATTGTCTGTCATGCCCAGGGCATATCCCCGAAGCAAAAAGCCACCAGCAAGAGGCCTTGAGCAGTGCTGGTACAGGCCCGTGGGAGTTCTGTACAATCTGCAGTGTCAGCAACACCAGGGGAGAGAAAATGGACAGCTTCAAAAAGATCTTAAAGTGATTTCGTGAGCAGGATTCCATTTCCAAGTTTTTAGATATTACAAAGTACCCATATATATGATAAACACTTAACCCAGATATAACTTTTCTTTTTAAAGAACTCTTATATTTTTGAATAATAATTACCAAACAAATCCACTGAATGCGGGAGAAAAACCACACTGGGGGAAAAGCCACACTCCACAACCTTCACAGTTAACCCCACATGCTGGAGCCCACCCTTTGCACTTTCCTTTTCCCCAACAGTTGTGTCAAAATTAGAGCCGAGAGTCAGCTTAAGAAAAGAAGAAAAGATGGAAATTTATTATATGGTGATTAGTTTTAAAAAAGAAGGAAGGGCTTTGAGAGGGAAGAGGCCATGAAAATCAAGCTTGGAAAGCAAAATTATTTTGTTTCTCTTTGGCAACAACAACAACAAGACCTTTTTAGTTAAATGAAGCCAAAGCTTTCCCTACAAGAGAACAAATGTACACAAAACTCGTTAGTATGGATATCGTGTGTGTGAGAGAACGAGACAGAGGGACCCATGAATAATATAAATTAGAAGTAATCAAAGTCGGGGGAAGAAAAATCTTACAAAATTTAAGAACGTTTCATTGACAGAATAAAACACAGCAGGTAAAACAACTGTGCATCTTAAAAATACACTAAAGTGAGCATCTTTAGAAAAAGGCCACCACGTGGGGACGTGGGCGAGTTCACCAGGTAGGTATATCTTGTAAAAAGTGTGTTGGTGTTAGAAATACCTAGTTGCAAAAATAGACGTAGAGAGTGAAGCTGGTGGGGCGGCGCGGGCAGGGGGGGCGGGGGGCCTGCCCAGTGGAGGGCCCTGGCTCAGGTGGCCTGGTCCAGGGCTCTGAGGAGGTCCCCTCCTTGCAGGAGCGTGGAGCTTCCTGGCACAGGAACATTCACCTCACAGTCATATCTGGTCAATTCGGGCAGCAGGTAGGGCTCAAAGGAGGGCCCAAGCAGCCGACTCGCCATGCCTGAAAGAATGAGAGTTTTAAAAACATGGTACCAAATGTGCCAAAAGGGTCTCTTCCATAAGAGGGGTTCTGGCGTGTTTCCCCCAAACAGTACCCTTTTCGTGATGGTATCTACGTTTTGTAAATGGCAGCACACTCAGGCAGCCCAGGGAGGAAGACGGGCATCAGGTGCCTAACCCAGAGAACAAGGTCCAGGAGGGTGGCCCCGGCAGAGCTCTCTGGGCACGTCCTCCGCTCCGTTCCTGCCTGAAGGCAGAGCGGCACTCCTGCTATGGGAGTGAGCAGCAGGCAGTATGGCAACATGAAACCCTGAGCAAAAGACATGGGTTCGGGGACTCGTAGGTCCAAAGGGCCCTGGATGTCCCTTCTAGAGCCCTGTGGGCACACGGCACCCAGCCCCTGCTGTAGTAAAAATCTGGAAAGGTCGCTGCCTTCCAGGGCGTCAGTCTCATTCTCGTGCCCTGCTGAGCTCTGTGGCCTTGTGAGATCCAGCTCCTGGTGCTCTCTGTCCCCCGTCAGACCCTAGCATGGTGGGTCCACTTCCTGAACGCACTCACCTGACACCTTGGGAGCTGACGGCAGGCTGTAGTCCTGGTACTGGGGGGCGTAGCACTGTGGGGGGAACCCACTCTTGGCGTTCTCCCTGGGGCTCATGGCAGACGGCGGCAGATGTCTCAGAGGCTGTCCCGCGCCCCTCATGGGAAGTTGGGTGAACTCATCTGAAAGACCAATGCCAGCGAGTGAGGGCAGTGCCAGGCCGAGGGAAGGGAGAGGCCGTGCAGCCCCCAGCATCCCCCTTCCTTCACAAAAGGTGCTCGGAACTAGAGCCAGCTCCTGGGGCAGCAGAACCCAGAGCTTTCTGACTGTATCGGCTGAGCCAGAGTGGAAAGGGGGTGCTGGGTGTGTGGAAGGCAGGGCAGAGGACACCACCCTGTTCTACCATGGCTCAGAGGTGCAGGCGATGAGACGGTGGGGGATCCCGGGTGGGCCCCTGCAAACACTGTCCCCCCAGCACCCCAGGAGGCCCGGGCCTGCTGCTTACCACTGGGGGCGCTTGCGCTCAGCAACTTGTCGGGCACCAAAGGGCAGTTCACGCTGCCCCTGAGGCTCTTCATCCTTTTCCACATCTGATGTGAAGTGCTGCTGCCTGATGGGTCCCCCTGGATCTAGAGGGGAGAAGGCCAGAGACCTGTTCCTCAAACTGAGTCGGGGGTGGGCTGCTCTCTCTGCAAGGCTGTATCCCTCTCTGCTGCCCGTCATAGGCTCTCTGAGCCCTCACCGCCATCGTGAGAGTTTCTGCCCGGGCCGGACCTCTGTTCTCGGGCTGTTTCCACCCCCAGCCACTGTCCCTAGGCCACACCAGGCAGATGGCTCACCCCGCTCAGGTCCTGGAAGGCCTGCTCCTCATATTCTCGCTGTCGCTTCAGCTTCAGCTTGTTGGACAGGGCTACCATGGCCGGGCTCATCACATCCGGGCCCTGGGGCCCAAAGCCTTTTGCAGACCTGCCAAGCCCGAGAGAGTGAGCTGTGAAGAAGTGGGGAGCCCCATACCCCCCAGGGCCTTCCCCCTGCTCCAGGGGCCCTCCCAGAACCAATAGTTGACCGTGCTGGCTCTAAGACCCAAAGGGCAGAGTCCCAGAGGAGGGGCAGGGGGCTTGAGATACCGATGGCTCAGATCACCTGTACCTCCCTCCACATTTGCCTGCTGGCCCAGCTGTACCCAGACAGCCTTTAGGCCTGACCTCATTCCATCTGTCTTTAAGACCTCTGGCTCCTGCCCTGTCTCTCCCCTGTACCACTGCCCAGAACCATTCCCCACTGAGGACCAGTGATGGGCAAGTGCCCCAGGGAAGTATCCAGTAGGTCCTGGGAGCTAGAAGTCACATCCCAACCATGTGACTCTGCCCAGTGAGCACCCCGCTGGTTGGCATGAGGCTTACTGGGGAGATTTAAAGGAGCCCTAAGACGTTGCTGCACTAGGACCTTGGGAAGCCAAAAGGCAGGGCGAATCAAGGGCATCGTTTTGCTTTTCTCATTCAGGGTTCTAGGAGAGAACTAAGAAAACAGTCACTCAAATCATTCTTTGCATTCTGTGGCTCAGCCGATGAACCCTGGTCTGAAGAGAGAGACGGTGGGGCTCAAGGCCCTCAACACCCCCCTTCTCTTCCTTCTCTGGGCCTCAGTCCCCTCTTGGTCTCCAGCCCTGATAGAAATGTGTCCTGCTTGAGGCCTCACATACCTTGGGGTGATTCCCTCAACGCATCCAGACTCTGAGTACAGAGAAGGCTGTGGTGGGGGAGAAGGAGAGGAGGCAGGGAGCCTTTCTGGGGCCCCAGAGATTACAGTAGGAGTCTGCTGCTGCAGCCAAGGGTCTCTGCCACTTACTTTTTCTTGAAGACGGAGAGATGGGGTGAGTTGACGGGGGTCCCCAACGGTGATGGCCCCAAGGACTCCGCGTGCTGATCCACAACAGGCCACTTCGTGGGCCCAAAATGTAATGGCGGATCAGGGGGCCACTGTGTGCTGCTGGACCTGCCTCCCAGGGAGGAGAGAGGGGTGCCGGCTTGGCCACAGCACGGGGGCAGGGACACTTTACTGCCGCCATCAAAGAAGATGGAGGACAGGGGCCGGTGCTCAGGCTCTATCTTCTTGCTTCCCAGCTGCTGTTGATACTTGTCCAGGAGGAAAGGGCTGTGGGAGGCCCCGGGCGCCAGCGGCTGGAAGATGTTCGTCATGGTGCTGAAGCAGTGCTGGGGGGTCGACTGGGGCTTCTCCTGCAGAAGCCTCTCCTCGGGGCAGATGGGACTGAGCTGGAAGTCTTCCCCGTCCATGGGGATGTAGGGGGCCAGGGTCTCCAAGTCCAGCTCACTGAAGTCCGTCTGGGGGCAGGGCAGCAGCAGAGGAGCGGTGAGGCTGGTGCCTCCTGAGAACGCTGGGCCAGCAGCCGTCTGCCCCTCACAGCCCTGCCCCTGTCCCCCCTCTCCCGTGCCCCTCCCTTGCTTCAGCACCTCTGGCCGTTGCCCACCAAAAGGAAACCCAGGTTTGTCTACCCCATGTACGCATCTCCCCGCACGTGATGCTAGCCTTTCCAGGGGTCCACCCCTCTTCAGCCTGTGCCCCAGACTGCCCCACACTGCTGTCACTGCCTCACCCAACCCGAAACACCCTCCTCTCTCCAGTCTACCTGTCCAAACCCGCCCCCCCTTCTCTCCTGTGGCCCCAGTAAGACTTCTCTGCCTGTGGTGACTGCCCCTGGGGCCAGAGCATACACAGGGGCTCCTGGAGAGCCAGAAACAGCTTTATATGTCCCAGCACAAAGGACGTTTTACAGAATTGAGGGAGCTTGTGCGAGGCAGGGCAAAGAGACCAGCTGAGCAGCCAGGTGGGATTTGTTTTATAATTGGGACTGAGACAAAGGGGGATTAATAATTCTTCTTGGACTTTGTGAAATATCCACCCACCTCCTCCTTGTTTTTATAACGTTTTGAGAACAGTGGCCCTTCTGTAACAAGTGCGTTCCTAAAAAGTTGTGCGTAAGTGAAAATTTGTCAGGCGCCTGTCATTTTGAAATCCATTTCAAATAAAAATTGTCCTTACAGAATCCTAAGGTGAAGGTGTGTGTGAGGAGAGTAATTGCTCCTTATTGCTTCTAAACATCTCACAAATCTGGAGATGCTCTTTGAACATAGGGCCTCTTTAAAGAATGCAATAGCTGGATTTGGCATGCAAAGCCGAGGGCAGAGGGGGGAGAAGGGGCTACCCACCGGCCCCATTTCCCAGTTAAGACCAGGGCCTTGGCCAAGTGTTCCCACTGGTCTCCGCCAAAAGGAACGAGGCTGCAAGAATGGGCGTGAGCCTTCACGGTCCACCTACCTGGGTGCTGCCCTGGTCCTTTGCCTCTGTATCTATGGTGAAGAGCTTCTCGATCACTTCAATCTTCAGATCGTCATTCAGAGATGTGTAATAGTCTCCGGGGCTGCTGGGCTGGGGGCCAGGAGGGAGGGTGACCAAGTCAAGAGTAGGACACTGGTCTTCCCAGAAGTCCAAGGTGAAAGGAGAAATCTATTTCTGGACCCACAGAGTCAACGCCAATCCGTGGAACAAGCATGTGTAGAGGGAACAATCCTTACAAGAAGGCTATGGCCAGGGGCCAGTGGTGGGGAGGGGAGTGCTCCAGAAACTGTACAGCTGTCTGCCTCGAGCAGGATGGTTACTGCCCCGCACAGGGAATGAGTCATGGGCTCCAAGCTGTGTGTAACTCAGCCCCCATCTTCAAGGATCTTATCACATAGATGGGGGGGGGTGCAGACAGATATTAATGGCAAACTGCTGGAACAGCCGGCAGGTAAGGGTTACCACTGCCCTAGGGGACTCTGGGATAGCCTGAGGGGCATGCGGGCAGTATTCTTTTCTGGCGGTCTACTCAGCCATCCTGCAGCAGCCAGAAAGAGCAGCCCACCCTTTCAGTGTCCTCACCCCAAGACGGGGTGCTCACCGTGGAGCAGCTGCTGCTGCTGGTGGCACTTGGGGTGGCGCTCCCGGAGGCAGCCGCTTGGGGCACGGTGAAGGCGGGCAGGCTCCCGGCCTCGCTCTGGGTGCTGTGGCTCCTCAGCTCTCTGGACCACGGCTGGCTCGGGGGCAGAAGGGCACTGCTGTAGGCTGAGGACTTCTCAAAGTTCTGGCTCCCTGTGGAGACAAGGGCCTGGCCGCTTAACCCCCACAAGCACTAGGCCCACCCCTGGGCAGAGAAAACCCAAATGAAGCACAGAGTGTCTGAGGAGGCTCTGAAGGTGTACCTGGGGGCTCAGCCCTCCATGCTCCGAGGTCTGGCTGTGACCAAGAGGCCATTACTGGGTCTGTGAGTCAATGAACAGGCTCCCTTTGAAGCAAACACCTTCCGGGAGCATCTCATTTTCAGAGACCTCATTTCAGATCCTAGCACCCACTTCCTTGACAGGCAATTGGGAATGTTGAGGAGGAGGAGGTTGCAAAAGGACAAGTGGACAATTTGCCTCAGTTCTGCCACAAAATAAGGAAGCTGCAAGACCTCTCGGCCTGGGGCTGCTGCCCTTTATAGTTTCTGAGGTTGCAATCCTCACATGGCCTTCCAGAGCACTTCTGAAGGGGCCAAGACAGTTGTAGGGTGAGCACGGGGAGGTGCTGCTGGCCCTGGGGCAGCTGTGCAAGGCTGGAGGAGGAAGATGGGGTCACGACCTGGGAGCATGGGGCTCCCCAGGTGCACACTCAGGGTGCCTCCAGCACGGGAGGGGGACCAGGGCTGAAAATTTTGCCTGGGGCCATAGGACATGCATCTCCACTGGACTGGCATACATTTGTAAGAAATAGTGCATATGAGGGCTTCATGCTGGGCCAAAATCTTTTCTCCATCCACATTTCTGGAATTATTTCTGACACTATTTCAGCCTGGCCCTCCACCTAAACAGTCAATCTGTCCTTCAAGGCCCAGGTGGAGATTTATCCTCTATGAAAATGTGCCAGTGGCCTCAGCGCATCTCTCCTGCTGCCCCCTCCCTCGTCTCAGACTCTCTGCTGCCTGGACCAGAAAATCAGTCGACATCTCAGGAGGGAGTCCCCCATAACCCCGCCCCACTCAGCACTGTGCAAGGTCAGAAGCAGGACTGTATTAGTGGCAGGAGCATGCGTTCTGTTTTGGGGCTCAGCACAGTCTGGCCACATTCACAAGACACAGGGCTTAAGAAAAAGCTGAAGCCAGGGAAGCCTGCTACAGTCAGAACTGCCTCACCCAGAGAGGCTCAGCAGGCCCCTTTGAGCTAAGAAGCACCCACCGAAATCCAGGGCAATGATGGCATCCCCCGCAGTGGGGGCCAGCTGGGCCAGCTCCTCCGGCTCCTCCTTCAGCTTGGTGAACAGGTAGTCACTCTGCTCAGACACAGCCACCTCACTGCTGCTGTCAAAGATGCTGCTCATGGCCGTCAGGTGCGGCTTGAACAGGGATTCCGTCTGGTCCATGGAGAACACCACGTCGTTCTTCTCAATCTCGCTGATGGGACGAGAGGTGTGTCAGACCTTCCGGGTTTTCCAGCAAAATCCTTTTACACGCCCAGACCCATGGAATACCAGGTAGCCAAGCCTTTCAGCCAAAAACATGGGTTCGGCCCCCATGCCAGTGCTTTGTAAGGAACCACACAATGACGTCTGGAGTCATGGCAGCAGCAATCCTGAAGAGTGCCCTCTGAGTATGGATGCATCTTGGATGCTTTTTATTATTGTGTGTGGGCTGCACTGTGTACATAGGTTTGAGGGCTTTTGTTTTTCTTT